TAGCTCTCCCTCCTACAAGGCTCCTGCACTCAATCATGCAACAGGTAACACATGTTTGTTGATATTGTAAGTGTCGAATGTGGGAAAATAGGTAAAAAATACTTCAAATGTAAGCTTTTGCACACAATCCTCTGAAAATTTCACTTAAACTGGACAACTACTCAACCATATTACAGACATTTTCAATTTCAAGCTGTTGTATTTTCTGGTACCAAAAGTTACCACCTACTAAGAACTACAGTAAAAATACATGAAAATGACACCAAATTTGGGGAAGCTTCTTAAAGGAGAAAATGATTTACTAACTGGCAATGGCCATGTTTAAATAAACATTGTACATTGAAACACTGAACACTAGAAACATTGTTTATCTACCTAAAAAGAAACATCTATTACAATATTGAGGAACACCTATTAGCCAACTCTATTTTTAAAAAATAAACAATATTAAATATAGACATGGCGATATCAGTAACTTCAAAATTGTGTATATGTAATTTCTAATAATTCCAAGTGTGGCTAGACATGTTAGTATACTGTAACAAAAACAAGGAGTTATGTGGTGTCTTAAAGACTAACAATTTTATTGGAAAAGAAGCTTTTGTGGATTACAACCACTTCATCACTATGTATGAAATATTATTTAGAACAGAAAGAATACCACAGTTGGGAGAAAGATGAACAAAAGAGAAATGTAGGCAGAATGTTTAACATATAGCAGCAGCAGCGGAGTAAACAGCAGAATTCTTATCCCAGAGTAAAGGATAAAGACTTCACTGAAGTAGAATGTACAGTAAAAAATATTTTGTCAAGTATAATATCTCAAGCTGTTCAAAGTATTTTCACACACAACTGGTTTCCCCATTACATCCCTTTCCAGAAACACAGGGAACATGCAAAGTTTATACGTGCTCTTGAAATGCTGAAATATGAATAAAGTAAAAGAAGCCTTCACAACAGACTATCTCACAAGGGTTTTAGAGAGCAGCAGTATGAGTCCATTCCCAATTATAAGGGCACATTTCCTGTGGTATTCAAGTCTACTATTGCCTGTTATTTCCTAATCATTAGCTTTTGCTGGGGTCTTTGAACAGACATGGGAAATATTTACAGCAGCTGTTTGTAAAGGACACTTGTTTTTCCAGTGCCTCACTTTTATTTCAGTGCTTTACAGGAGGAAAGTTGTTGGATATATACTTTCTTCAGCTGTCTTTTACACATTAGCATTGTCAAACTGGTTTTTCCAACAACAAAAACACATATTTAGAAACTCAATTCCACATGATAAAAGGCTAATAAGCCAAAATAAAGATTTCCCACAGTAGGTAGGTAGGTAGTAATTAGGTAGGTAAGTAGGGAGGGAGGGAGGGAGGGAGAGAGAGAGGGAGAGGAAGAGGGAGAGAGAGAGAGAGAGAGAGAGAGAGGACAGACAGACAGACAAACAGACAAGATACTTTGTGAAAAATATAATTTATCACATGTCTGTAACAAAGCAAACAGCAAGTTGACTGCCAGCAAGCAAACACTTGTTTTGTAAAATACCACCAGTCACCAACTCAATTCATGTGGGTTTTTCATACTTACTCTCATGAAGATACCATAAGTGAAATCCTATCTCTTAGATTAACAACCAGAAGTAAAACCCACGAAGTTCATCACTTAACATATATTAAAACTATTTATTAATGCATCTTAGTTAAAAATATAAATAAATCACAAGAATTATAAAGCAATAAGCTTTAATACCATGAATAATCTAAATCTTTTAAAAGTACAGGATTTTGTTTATGATGTATGATAAAGCATTGGTGAATTGGCACTCTTTTTTAGAATTTTTTCTACAAGTTTCTATTTTATTACAACACATAAGAACCTAGACAATCCTTCTACTAAATCCAAATAATCATTAATTCAAATGCCCTAAATTATGCTCCAAGCATAATTCATTTATTTTGAGGCTTCACATTTCTTTTGTTCTATTGCTTCTCAAAGAACAATCAGGGCACCCAATTCATTAGAAAATACATCCCTGGTATTGCTGCTCCTTATTCTGCAATAAGAACATGAATGCTTGTGAGCAAGTCTGAACATGCCATTCAGCTGAGAACCAGTTGACCTCAGATTGATAAAGAGGATTTACTCACCCTATTCTAACACTATCCTGCTTTCTAGAAAAAATGTTTTAATTTGTACACCACATCAGCTAATCATTCACATCAATTAAACTTCAAAACAAAGCTTCCACAAAGGGCTCAAAACTATGGTTTTTATCTAAACTGAATTTATATGGAAAAGAATTAACTGTAAAAGTAAAGAAACGATGACTCTCTTCTTTCTACTTTAGCTCAAGCAGTCTTGGAAAAGAACAAGACAATCCATTATTTACACTTCAGAGTAGCCAGCCTTCTTCATTATGTTAAACACTAAAGGCTATATTCAGTGTTATATGAATGGTTTTCTAATAGAACAACTGGAATTCTTGCAAATTCCCAAATCTCTTTCTGAGAGTCACTCCATTTGATGTAGCAAATATTTTTTTTTGGGGGGGGGGGAGAAATTTTTCTCCTTGTTATCAGCAGCCTTCACTGGGGAAGGCTTGCTAAGGCTTGATAGCTGGGGAATCCTGGAGTTGTAGTTCCACCTCTGGAAGAACATATGATTCTTGTCTTTATACCCTGGTGTTTTGTAGAGAATGTAAGGAATAAATAAGTGGTTTCCATCCACAGCAACTTTGAGCATGAGGAATTCAACTGCTAGAATTATTAGAATGGCCATGCTGACTAGGAAATTCTGGAAGTTGGGGGCCATACATCTTAAAGTTGCTCAAGTTGGGAAACACATTTACTCCATAAAACTCATTTGTAAAGTCACACTGACACATTGTATTAAGCTATAAAATGATTTGGTTGCCTTTTATATACTGTTTGAAGCAAACATTATTTTATACTGCATAAGCCCAGTCAACTATGGGGTCAAGCCAAAGGCAAATAATAAATCAGGATTTAGCAAGCTATAGTTTAGCCGAAAATGTCAGCTTAATTTCTGTTTGGTCTGAACATCTTATACAACCTGCTAAGGTTTATTATGCAGCTTTGTTGCCAATTCTTTAAAAAAATACCCATAAAAAAAGGACATTAAATGTTAACTATAACCACACATTATAAACTTATCTTTCTTGCTGCTCCACATCTTAGACTAGAGCAATCTACAAGGAAGAAATGATGACTGAAAAGTTTCATCAAGTAACTGCTCTGTAATGCCCCATCTTCAGCATCCCTATGGCTAACACAAGGCACACTATTTTAGATACAAGTACAAACGGAGTCCTTCGGGATTGTGCGGCATATAAATGTGTCTAATATATAAATAAATAAACAAACAAACAAACTAGGGAAAAATCAATCAATTGGTGCTCCTTCAAAAAAAGGCATTAAAATTGTCACTGAAAATTTGTGCATATAATGAGAGAATCAAACCATTTTGATCCCATTGTAATATTACCAAAATCAAAATAACCTATCAGAAGAATTATACTAGTTTATATAACTGTCTTCTTTCAAGGTGCAGATATTTATGCAGTTTGTTCATACTAGGTCTAGCAGTGTTTAGGTACCACCAGTACTTCCATTTCATGAAAAACTTTGCAACTCAAACCAAAGTATTTCAATCAACCTTCTGCCAACTCCAAAGTGTACTAATTAGCTTGCAATATTTTAAGATTAAATTATGGCTATTGCATGATTTGAATTAATTGATGGTGAGGTATACATTCATACAACTGAACTCCATTCTGGGGAATGGGAGGCAGAAAAAGACACACCCAAGATGATGTAACCTTCAGAAGCAATAACAATGCAGAAAAATGAGACAAAACCAGGTATCAAAAGGTCACCTATAAATCAGTTTCAGAATCAGACTCATAGTGATTCATTCAATCCCTACATAGGCCTAGTTCTTTTTGTCTAAAACAAGGCCAGACCAATTCAGCTTACTGCAATGTTTTTACAGTTGCAAACAGTATACCAATCCATACAGCAATAACAATCAGATATGAGGATGATCTACAAGTACATGTCAAAAACTACTTGTACACAATCATGCATCTTTTCTGCTGTATACCTAGAGATGAAAATCAATGACTGATGAACAACAGTTCTTAAGATGTGCAACACAGCACAAGAAATACATTTTTTGTTACTTCCTCAAATTAATTCAAATTCTTTTATATAAACAAAACCTGGCTGATGTTTCACTCCCATAACAATGTGCATTGGAAAACTTAGTCATATAGGTGACTAAACATTACACAGCCCATGATATTGCAGTATTTGTTTCCTCTAAAAGGGGTTATATCTTGAAGACTTTCACAGCAACTTATCTTACCCATGTTTGTATATATTTGTGTGTGTGTGTTGTGTCATCATCCCCCCAATTTCATCTACTTGTCAAACAGGTTGTTCCAGAAATTTTGATTTTCTGCTTTCCAGCCTGAGAATAACCTTTCCTACTTTTTTCCCCACTTTCACCCCACCCTTTTCATCCACACCCTCTTATAGAGGTAACACTGAAGACAGTATTGTGCCAGCTTCCACACACCTTAACAAATTCATAACAAAGAAAGCCAGCGGTTCTTTTTTCAAAAGCAAGGCTGTTTGATCATTTTTGATAATGACAGGAACAACCCCCCCCCCCTTTCTCCACTCCACTATCATCCCAGTGCACAGATAGGGAAAATACTACATGATAAAATAAAAGATAAAAAGAGTTTTGGTTTGTAACATAGGGGCAGCAAGCGTTAGTATCTTATGAACTTATAAACACAAATGGGTCCCTTGAAAACAAGGACAGGTGCTGATAATCCCTGTCACAAAGCCACAGGAAATGTATTTCTATTAACTTTTGTTCACAAAGCAAGGATGGCCCAACATCCTGGCTACTGTGAAAGAGAAACATGTACATGGTTTTTTTTAAAGAAGGGGGGAAAAAACCTTAACACAAACCTTATAAACTTGCCCGTATGTGCCATTTCCAACCACTTCCACCAGCTCAAAAATCCCAGCAGGATCCTACACAATAAAGGTGAGGAAAAATGAAAGGATGGTTGGGAGAGAAGGGGAAGTGGGGAGAAGAGAAGATATGATTGTTATCTTTAGGCAATTATTGCTGGATCCCCCAAATGCAAACAGTGGAGTGGATCGTTTAGCAGTGCAGTTGTTTCACCCTGTTTTTCTACGCACATGCCAATACATGCAAACAAAGGAAAGGAACCCAAGAGTGGACTCATCCTCCCCTCGCTTCTGCCCAGGGCACAAAATGGGAAGCCAACGAGCTAACTAGTAAAGGGCCTTTTTTTAAGGGTGTAATAACCCATCCCCCCTTATGACAGAGGCTTCTTCTCCCACCCACCCACCCCCCGCAATGTACAAGCCCAAGTCTTCCTCTCACCCTCCCTTCCTTCCCCCTCCGCCCCAACCCAGCTCCGAACAACAAAAGCCACGCCAGGGAAGACGTCGCCCGCTTTGTGTGGATAGCGGGAGACAAGACGGCCAAGGATCGTCTGCAAGCAGCCCTTTTCTCCCTTGCTTTCCCTTCCATCCTCACCGCCACCGCCACCCCTCGCCCCAAGTCACACTCACCCGCAAAGAGGAAAGGTCTATATCTCCCAGACTTTTTGCAGGAGAGTCATTCGCCATTTTTCCTTTTTGTTATTTTTCTTAACTATATAAATAAAGAGCCAAGCACTTGGCACGCCACGGTGAAAATATAAAGCGTCACCCGCTTGAAAACTACCCCCCCTCTCTGTCTGTCTCTTTCTGTGTCTGCCTCTCAGAAAGATCTTTTCTTTTCTTCTCTCTCTTTCTTTCTCTCTCTCTCTCCGCCCTTCCGTTTCTTGCTTTCTTCAGTCCGGGGTAAAACTCTTCTTCAATGGAGAGATGGAGATCCAGGAGGGCGGTGGAGGCTTCTGCTGCTGCTGCTGCTTTGCTCTACGGTGGAAGAGGAGACCGAGCAATGTAGGGCTACCGTGACTTCTTGGCTGCTTTAAATAGTTCCTTTTCGATCTCAGTTCGTGCGAAGGTCGCTCTGAAGCGGATTCACACCATCGGGAAGAAAAGAGCGGGCGCTCCCAAGAGGCGTCTCTTCCTAGGCAGCTACATCCAACATAAGAACCCAGAGCCGGCGGTGGGAGAAGAGCAGGCGGCGGCGGCTTTCATGCGCGCGCGCGCGCGCGCAGAACAACTCGCACCCACCCGCCCACCGGAGCACGCGAACAATAAAACGCCACCCGGACACAGTCGCTCCCTGCCTTCCTCCGCCCCCCCACCCCCTCCCACCCCAATCGGTTCTCTTTCTGCTCCTCCTCCTGCTGCTGCTGCTGCTGCGCCCTGAGCTCAGAGACACTGGTTTTTCCACGGGAGCTTCCTCCAGCGCTGGGAAAGGGGAAACAAAGCGAGCGCTGGGAGGGAAGAGGTGCGAAAGGATACAAAATAAACTCTCAAGTCAGAAAGGAAGCCAACAGCTCGCTCTTTCTTTCTCCGACAGGAAAACCCAGCGGAAACACACGCGCACCAAAGCACTTCTGGGTAAATGGAGGTTGGAGAGGGGGGGAGAAGGAGAAGAAGAAGGGGAGGGGGTGTCGTCTCTTGCTTTCAGGCAGAGGCTGCCTAGGGAAATCCCTTTTGGAGCGAATCTATCGATAGGCAATCAGGGTGTGGCACAGAACAATAGACAGAAGTTGTCTCGGAGAGCTTCCCAGCTAGGCCTCGCTCCCCAGAAAAATAAGGTATCTCTAGATAACTTCCTGAACAATGTAGACTCTGGGCAAGCGCTCCATTTATGTGAGGGAAAGATGTACTAGGTGGGAACAATGATCATCAGGCCGGCAAGTCAGTGTCATTCTTTCAATCCTCCACAACCTATTTGAAACAGCGGTTTTTATGTCATCGCATCACTTAGGACTCAACCAGAAGTTATTGGCTGGTGGTTTTTTTCTCATTTGTTTTACCTTGTGTGTCTTTCATTCAGGAATTAAAACTCCCCTCCTATTTTTCACCACAATAACAATCCTGTGAATCGAGATAACAGGGCCAGGGCTTACTCCCTGCATAAAATTGGATTTGAATGTGAGTCTCCCTGGTGCCAGTCCAGCACATTAACTCCTAAAACACATAGGCACTCATTAAGAAAATCAGTAATGTCTCTGATTAATTAAAAAGACTTGGAAGGCTCTTTGGTAGTTAAGAGTTGCTTGATCCTATTCACCTCAAACCTGCTTGCCAGAGGCCATTGATCATAGGCCATTGGTACCACCAGTAATTTTCTGATTATACAATAGGAGGACTACTGTACTTTGTCTTTTTGGTATGATGTTTTTATTCAGCAGCAATTATCTGACATCACCAGGAAAGGGTAGGAAAGCCACTTCCAGAAAACCCCAGATCTAATTAATGTAGACTCTATTTCCCAATAACAACTGAGGTGACTCCTGCAGCCTTATAGTTATGGGTTGTGGGAATATTCTCCAACACATCCTTGGGACACATAGTTGGCAAAAGCATCTAAGGAAACTAGGGGCCTAACTTAAGAAAGGCTATAGGTTCCTGCTATAGGTATCTACTTTTCAGTGAAACCTAGGATTTTCTTATTTTTTAGGATTTTCTTATTTTTTTGTTATCCATATACAGTAATAAATTCCCTGAACTTAAAGCATCTGAGTCATACGATGACAAATATCAGAGAGTGCCTTGGACCACTTTGGACTATTTATTTATTCATCCATTCATTTGTCAAATTGCTTATCTTCCTCACTGCTTTGGGTGGTGGACAAATAAATTTTAAAAGCATAAAAACAATATTGAAAAATAAATATGAGTCATTGTTCTTCAGGTCTGGAATTAGTTCAAGTTATTATTGTTCTCTAGAACGTCAGGCAGAATGTTTTCGTTTTGTCTTTTTTAATTGAGATTTAAGGAAAAGAAACTACAGTTAGTTATTTGGATGCCATCAAGTGGGAGGGTTGGCTTCCTGTGACAGTAGGGAAATAGTTTGCTATTTTCATTTCACTTTAATAATAATCATCAGTTTACATTCCAGTAACATCTTTGATCCTATCATAGCCATCCATTTATCTATTGTCTTTCTCTTCTATTTCTCTCAGTCTCCCATATAATAATTCTTTTTAGTCCACCACCCATTTGCTTACATGCCCAAAGTATGTGAGTTTCTGTTAAGCTGATCATTGCCCCAAGGGAACAATAAGTCTGTATTTGTTCCAGGCCTGAATTTATTACTTCTTGCATCATCTGTAGTATTCTTCACAACTGTCTCCAAATTCCTTATTAGAAGTATCTGTATTCTTTTTCTTGCTGTTCCTTAGGTCCACTTTCACAGTTATACAGATAGCCCTTGACACAATAGTTCATTTAGTGACCTTTCAAAGTAACAACAGCAGTGGAAAAAATTATTTATGACCACGTTTCACACTTATGACCGTTGCAGCATCCCCATGGTCATGTGATTTACATTTGCATGCTTGCTAACCAACTCACATTTATGACGGCTGCTATGTCCTCGAGTCAACGGATCCCTTTTTGTGACCTTCTGACAAGCAAAGGCAATGGGGAAATCAGATTCACTTAACAACCCTGTTACTAATTTAAGAACTGCAGTGATTCACTTAACAAATGTGGCAACAAAAGTTGTAAAATGGGGGAGAACTCCCGTAACAAATTTCTCAACAACATAAATTTTGGGCTCAATTGTGGTACTAAGTTAAGTACGACATTACATTGATAATTTATTTAACTATTGTTAGGTTTGTTGTCATTGAAATAGCCATAGGTGTCATGATCTGGGCTACCTTATTTCATAATCATTAATCTCCTTACTTCTGTAGGACAATCAATGCATTTTGATTCATGGGTCCAGGAAAAAATGAGTATTAAAAGTTATTGTCTGTAAATCTAGGGTTCATATTTCATCTATATTTTCACCTATTTTCCAGTGCTGCCAATTGTTCTAGACCCCCTGATGTGTGGGTTCATTGTTTCAGAGATATTTCCTTACATAAATAAACAGAATGACTAAAGGCAAAAAAGCAGAGGGAGCAGGAGTGACTTCCAACTTCCTGCCAGTTTGACTGCAACTGACACCTCCCCCCTCCAATAGCCAATGGTGGGACCTGGCTACCAGGCCTCTAAAGGGCTAAGGCAGGATTGGTCTAGCTGATCTCCAGTGGTCAAAAGAGAGGCTGGTTCCATGGGTCCCAAATTTTCAAGACATTCTGTAAGTTAGCTCATTTGAGCTTCTTTAGTTCACAAACTGTTGCCCTGTGATGCACAGGTTCACCCCATTTAATGTTGCAGACACAAGAGTTTTAGTAATATATAGAGAGAATTCCCTATAGCTAATTGCATATTAGGACTATATGCATCTTGTCATATTCCTTTCCCAATTCTGAGTCATACTGTTTCCCCCCCTCCCCCCCAAAAAAACCTCGGTTTTAAACATAATACACATTTTGGCACAATTGTAAAGATTGTTCTTTTAACACTCCATTACGTTATACAGTAGCTGACCCTTGTTGGCTCTATCGATAAAAGTTTTCCAAGCTGTTCCACCCCATTATATAGTTTTTGCAGTTGCATTATTTGGCATCCAGTATTCTGCCTATCCACTTCATGCATTGTTATACTCTCTTTCTCCTTCCGTCCATCATGCCTATGCCATTGTCATCTTGTACATATATGCATCAGCCCTTATGATGTACCCAAAGTATAATAGTTTTTGTTTGATGACCCTTTGATCAATGAGCTTTAAAAACCTCTAGTATTGAAAGGCAGATTCTTTTGGTTATCTGAGGGATGCAAAGCAAACTTCTCCACACTGTAACTCAAAGGAGTCAATATTTTTCCTCTTGTTCTTATACAGAGTTTATCTCTCACATCAATGCATTATAATGGGGAATACAATGGAATTGGCCAATCAAAAATTTGCCTTGATTAAAATTCCTCTTTCATTAGCTTTTTCAATATTTTTGTTGAAAAATAAATTGTTTTTCTTTTCTGAATTTCTTTTGTATCATTTTTATCAATTTTAGACCTTAGATAATTGTAACTGTTAACTATTTCAGTCATTTTGTTTACATTAAATTCTTCTAGTTTTCCAGTTGACATAACCTTAGTTTTCTAACTTTCTACTCTGCAGGTTTACTTTTTTTTCTTTTTGTATTTTTATTGACTGTCAAACAAAACATACAAACAGAGATAACTACAATACAAGAAGGGACTATAAAAAGTAAAATACCCAGTGACCAAAAGATTTAGAAATTATTATAATTTTCCAATGTAATACAATTAACTGTAAATAACCGAATATATTTTATTGTTTTAAAAGACAAAAATCACTATTAATTCTAAACTAAGACTATCAAGAACTACAGTCACCATAATATAAATCACTAAACAAAATTAGTAAATTATATTAGATATCCTGTGAAATTAGAATATAGACTTTATAAGAACAGTAAGCCAAATTTTGATGCAATACAAATCCATGTGTTAAGTTGTAATCAAGAAATTCTTCCCAATTTTAATTAAATTATCTGAAATATTTGTTTTCAGTTATGAAGTTGTGAAGTTGAAGCAGTCACATAATTTAGTCAGCCATTGTTCTGTTGAGTGATCTTGCCAGTAAAAAGCACATAATATTCTTGCAGCAGTTAGCATATACAAAGCTAATACAATATGTTTTAGTAAAGTTTAATAAGAGCATTACAGATTGAAATGGGAATTAAAGTTTTAAGAGATATTTCATTTTGGTGTAGATCATTTTCCAGAATTGTTGAGCTTTACAGAATTGCCACCATCAAAATGTGAAAAATAGATCTGGCTTGCTCATTCTTGCCGTTCACATGACATATTACATTAATATATACACTAAATAGGAAAAGTAATATAATACAGCCCTCTTTAACTCATTCAATCTTCCCAAATTATGTTCTTGCTATCTAAAGCTTTGGTATAGTTGATAAAACAGAATTAGAACTCTTTTTGAAACTGTCTTGCTCTTTTGGTTGCCTACCTAATATTAGCTATCTGATCTTATGTTCTTATGTTTTCTTCTGAAGCTTGCTTGTATAGATGTAATTGTTTTTATATGGTCTT